CCCACAGAGAGCAGGCAGTCAGCACCCCCAACCCCCCACCACCACCACCACCCAGGGCCGCAGCCCTAGCGGCGTCAGCACAGCCTCGGGCACCGGCACAGGGACAGGGCTGCTGGAGCCACAGGGCAGTCCCGCACACGCGCCATGGAATGCCATCAGGAAACCCCCAGCTGGCACCGTTCTGTCTACAGCCGATGCACAAGCACAAAAGGCACACACACGTTTTAACGATTAATGGTTTTATTGTAACTGTCTGGCGCTCATCGGGATAAACTCAGAATAAGACGGAAGCAACACGACCCGTGTGGCAGACAACCAGGTCAGTCAGCTGCGCAGCCCCGGCTCCTGGGGACGTCCAGCCAGGGGTGGCCACATGACCCTGCGGGCCGGTCAGCAATACGTGGCAGGCCTCCCTGCCTCGCAGGCGGAGACAGTGGGGTTCGCACCCTGAGCCCCGGCTTTCCCTTTCTCCTGCTCGGCACACGGAGGTGAGGCCTGGGGCTGCCCAGCCACCCAGCCACCGAGAGACACGCAGGAGATAATGCCACCACGGCAGGTGGCGGGCAGGAGGGGGGGGTGTGGGTGTCTGGCAGCACGGCCCCGCTGCCAGCTGGGGGGGCCACCCTCAGCTTCCACACGGGGAGCACGGCCTGAGGCCTGGCCACACGGGGGAGACCGCAGAAAGGCTGAGGCAGCGGGGCTGGGCTGTAGGGACAAACGCAGACCTGGGCTGCTAGGTACACAGATGAATGTTTTCATTTGTCGAAACAGAATGAAACCCTACCTCTTTACTTAGCAATAGAGCAGGCCGAGCTGCCCGCGTCATTACTATTCTCCAATGTACTGAAATGCACTGACCTACTTTGCATGTACTGCTGGGCAGCTATAAAAACTTAAGCAGCACATGTACACTTAACAGCACAGTAATGAGAAGGGCACACAGGATTTTCCTACACATCCTCTGCGCTTCCTTGTAACTCTACCATTATTTCTGAAATTAAGTCCTGAAAATCGTGCTGATGGAATGAGCACCAGCGGACTCCTCCCTGCCTGGCCATCCCCCGGACAGAACGCCTGTCACTCCCTGTCCCACCATATGGCTCCGCCATGAGCACACAGCCAGTGCTGACTGCCAGACGCGCAGCTGCTCCGACGGCTGGGGACTGTAACACAGCAGCACACACCTCGGGGGACAACGCTGCCCAGGACACTGTGCTCTGAGGATAAGCTCCGGACAGGGAGGCCTGGGACACGAGGGACGCACCGCTGCAGCGGGGCAGCCGGCGCCCACGGCCAGTGCAGAACGCCCGCTCCGGCGGGTCCCGCGAACCTGACGGAGGCTCGTGGGCTCTGCGGGTGCGTCTCCTCCATCCTGGTGAGGGAGCAGCTCCTACCCCTCTGTCTTTGTGCTCCCTGGCGCTCCCTGCCAGGCCCTCGTCTCCCTGAGGGGCACCGCCCTTTCCTTCTGCTTTTCACCCCTCCTGCAATCAGAGGACACCTGTCACTCAGACTGTGGCTGCAGCATGAGGGCCTGAGGGCGTCACATCCTGACCCAACCCGTGCTGTGCCGCCAGGCGGGGCCCAGCGGGCTTTGTGGCTGTGCCTGAGGGCGGACCCGGGCTTGTCCTGGAGTGCCCAGGGGCCCCATCTAATCGCAGGTCCCTCAGGGGCCCCTTGCCCGGCGCCGTCAGGAGCGCCCGTGGAGGGGTGGGCGCACGGTGCCAGGGCTGGCTGTGCAGTGGAGAGACCACCGCCGAGGAGTGCAGAGGCCTCCCGAAGCTGGGAAGGGAAGGGAACGGGACAGAAAGCTTGGGTGCCTGCCCAGGTCAGCCCAGCCAGCAGGTGGCAAAGCCAGGGCCGCGCGCAGGGACCCCACGCGCCTGCAGTGAGACCGCGTCACGGGCCTGGCATTCGGACCACGGCAGGGCTGAAAGCACCCGTCCCCTTCCCGGCCCGCCTCCTCGGAGTGACACCTGAACCTACACGGCAACTCCCTGCAGGGGTGGGCATTTCCACCGAAGGCTCGGTCTCTAGGCAACATGTCACCTCATTCTGCACGCGTGTGAAGTTCATGTTCATGTTTATGTTTTTTTGCAACGTTCCATCAGGACTGCTTCGTGGGCCAGTGTTAACCGTGCAGCCCAGTTTTGTTGTCCTGTGGGGTTTCGTTTCACGGATGTGAGGGGAGTGTTTTAGCCATAAACCAACTTTTCCAAATAACCTAACATGGAAACACGATGCAGCCAAAGGCAGGGCCGTTCCGGGGAGCCGGAAGCAGGAGCCGCCCACAGGCAGCCCGGCCACGCGGGGAGGAAGAGAAGAGGCAACCGCAGGGACCCCCGCAGGAGCTCGGGGATCACTGAGGAGCCACCGGTCTGGCTGCTTCTTTAGAAGGCACGGCCTCAGAAAATGGTAGAGAAAACCTTAAGGAACTGAGGGTGGTCCTTTGAAAAGATGAGCAAAGTCGACAAACCTTTAGCTAGACCGACTGACAGCGAGGAGGGAAGACTCGAATTCCCAACGTCAGGGTGCACGGGGGGACGTGACTATTGACCCTACAGGCAGAAGGGGTTGTGGGACAGCATCATGAACAGCTGTACAGCAACAAGCGCGGTAACTGAGGTGACCAGAGAGACTCCCAGAAAGACTAAAACCACCGGAATTCAACGGGAAAAAGAACATCTGATAGACATGAATGCGTCACGGAAACACTACACAGAGAGCCAGGCCCAGGTTTGTTCCCTAGTCAGTTCCAACAAGTGTAAGGAAGAATTAATGCCAGCCCTTCAGAAATGCGTCTGAAACCGAGGAGCAGAGGGAACACTTCCCAGCTCACTGCATGGCGCCAGCATCACCCGCTACCACACACAAACCAGGTCACTGCCAGCGAAGAACACTGCAGACCACTCTGTTCTACGTATCTAACAGGCTAAGTGACCAACCATCCGACCGTCCAACCAGTCGGCCGGTGCCCGAGACGCGCACTGGCAACTGAAAAATAAATGTTGACTTGTACATTTGCGATACATATAAAGCAAGGGAAATCAGTCAAGTGCTCTGATAGTGTTATTGCTCTTAATGTGGTATACGGGGGGTATCACAGTAAGCTTAATCAATTTATCAGTCATTATTTTTATCAATGTTGTTTTTCTCTTTTTTCCTTTTTTTTAAATATATTTTATTGATTTTTTACAGAGAGGAAGGGATTTTTATAGAGAGTTAGATACATCGATGAGAGAGAAACATCGATCAGCTGCCTCCAGCACACTCCCTACTGGGGAGGTGCACACAAGCTAGGGCATAGCCCTTGACCGGAATTGAACCTGGGACCTTTCAGTCCGCAGGCCGACGCTCTAGCCACTGCGCCAAACCGGTTAGGGCTCAATGTTGTTTTTATATCATGTCTTTGTTGTTGTTATGTCATGTTGTTATTCTCTATTTGTTAATCAATTTATACTGGTATACTATTTTCATATACATTTTACCAATTTTCTTTCATCTCTGACACTTCTATTATAGAGAAAGGGCAAACAGTAATATTAAAATATTTCTTCTAATTAATTTCCTTTCAATGTGCACAAATCTATGCACTGGGCCACTAGTATGTCTATAAATATACCTGCAAAAGTCAAACAAAATGCCAGTGAACAAAATACAAGATCATTTTTTAAATATATTTTTATTTATTTCAGAGAGGAAGGAAGAGGGAGAGACAGAAAAATCAATGATGAGAGAGAATCATTGACTGTTGCCTCCTGCGCGCCCCCTACTGGGGATCCCGGCATGTGGCCTGACCGAATTATACCGTAACCTCCTGGTTCATAGATCGACGCTCAACCACTGAGCCACGCTGGCCAGGCAAGATCATTTTTTAAACGTATATATCATGCCCGGGCCAGTGCGACTCGGTCGGAGCATCGTCCTGTGCACCAAAGGGTTGCAAGTTCAATTCTCAGTGCGGGCACATACTCAGGTTACAGGATCCATCCCCAGTCTGGGCATATACATGAGGCTGCTGATCAATGTTTCTCTTTCACATCAATGTTTCTCTCTCCCTCTCCCTTCTTTCTCTAGAATCAATGGAAACATACCCTCAGGTGAGGATTAAAGAAATAATTCTATTACGTGACAAAATGGGATCTTTCCAAGGAATGCAAGGCTATTTTTTAATTCTTTATTGTTTAAAGTTGCCCTAACTGGTTTGGCTCAGAGGATAGAGCATCGGCCTGCAGACTCAAGGGTCCCGGGTTCGATTCCGGTCAAAGGCATGTACCTTGGTTGCGGGCACATCCCCAGTAGGGGGTGTGCAGGAGGCAGCTGATCGATGTTCCTCTCTCATCGATGTTTCTAACTCTCTATCCCTCTCCCTTCCTCTCTGTAAAAAATCAATAAAATAAAATAAAGTGTTACATAAGCCTCCTTTTTTCCCCATGCAAGGCTAGTTTGGGGGGGCGGGGGGCGTGTATAAGCACAGGACCACAGTTGTTTGTGGCAGTCACCTCACTCACTACAGATGAGCGATTTCCTTGTGGACCTGGGAGACGGAGGCTGTGTTACAGGGAGAGCGGGCCCTGGGGGTCAGGCCGCCCGGAGCCCACACAAGGACAGCCACCTGAAGGGCGCCCCTCTGCAGCACTCAGGCTGGTCTCTGCAGCGACCATGAGAAAAGGCACGCCCGGGGCTCACTACGTATGGACTCTCCCCACCCGCTGACCTGCATATAATCAGCCACTGGGAGGCGGGCAGAGCAGCATTTCCAGGGTGGCCAGTCGGCTGCTCTCCCCAGATAAATAAACATTCCCACGTGACTCAGCCCCGCCTCTGATGGCCTGGGCTCCAGCAGTGACAGGCAGCCTCAGCTCCACTGTGTCCGGAATCAGTTTAACAACCAGAAATCAATTACTACAAAATACCATATTAATAGAAAAAAG